CATGACTGTAATATTATTTATTTTTTATTAATTTATTACAATTATTATTTAAAGTAAAAAAAATATTTTTAACTTTTTGTTTAATATTAGTTCCACAAAATTAATTTTTATAATACATTTTTTTTCATGATATTAATAATTAAAGTAATGTTTATTATATTAAATTATTTTTATTTTTTATTTGTTTTATTTGTTTTATTTGTTTTATTTTTTTTATTTGTTGCAAAACAAAAAAATGGTCCAATCAGGGTCGGCCAAACGATCATGTTATTGGAAAAAAACTTAAAAAACAATAAAATGGTAAATAACACAATCATTTTTAAAAAACAAAATAATAATGACAAAACACAATTATTTATACCAAAAGATAAAATGAAGAAAAATAAAACGATAATTTATATTAAACACCAAATTGTTTTCAAATTACTTTTGAATACAACAATAAACATATATATTTGTGTTGATTTAATTGTACACCAAACCTTTCAATTGTAAATTATACATGCAAATAAAACTTATTCAAAGTTACTCTGATAACAGTTTTTTTATTTGGGTGATAATAATTATTTTGATTGATTATTATCGTATTATGAATTATCATTTTTATCAAGAAAACGTACTAAAATTAAGTTTTACTGGTTTGAAAGTAATATGATTCACTCCATTCGAAAAATAATACATTGTTTGTTTTGTATTATTGTTAAAGATAATGAAAATACTTCTATTTGATTGTTTAATTTATACGATATTTAAAAAGGACACGAATGAACTATTCAAAACCTTTGTTAAATTGACAAATATACATTTGTCAAATGACAAAAATACAGACATTAACAATTAATATTAATGTGTATGTTGAAAAAGTATATTAATTGATAAAATAAAAATTTGAAGTTGAAATCACTAAAATGATTTCTAATAATTTTTATTGGGTGTTAGTATCTTCTGTATATACAACAATTATAAGGAGTTAGTATTGTTATTTAATTTTAAAAACTTTGCATTTTACCATTTCATATGCTTTTTTACTGTTCAATTGTCGTTCTTTAAAACTGGAATATAACACATTGTAATGATGATTTAAACAATACAGAAATTTTGTTTAAATCGTTAACTATAGTTTTACCAATTTTTAAAAACATTTTAACAATAAAAAACTTTTTAAGTTTTTTTTGTTAACAACATGCTAAAACTAAAATATATATTGACACGTATTAGAGATTGCCACGAAGTTGTTTAAAAACTGGATCTTGGCCGACCCTGGTCCAATTCCCGTTTTTTAAAGAAAGTTATTACCACTTATTATGCAATTGTCAAAGGGGTATAAATTAACACTTTGGCTTTAGATTTCCGAGCCATAACTTCATTTTTATATTTTCAGTTTATAATTTAAATTGTATCCTATTTAATGCTAATAAAATTAGCAAGAAAAATGATAATTTTCTAATAAATGATGTGAAAAAGCTTTGTAAAAAATAAAATTAATTTCAAAACAACAAAACATAAAAAATAGCTAACCAGAGTATTTTATTGTTACTGAATAATAAAAAACTTTTTTAAAAAACACAACAAAACTGGATAAATATAAATTTACCAATATTTTATAATTGATTTACTTTTGATATAAAATTCATACACGATGGTGAATCAAAAAAATAAAGAAAACAACACCATATATTAAAAAGTTTTATCTTCAAAATATACAAAACAGCTTTCATCGTGTCTATGATCTTACATATTTCTATGTTACAAAACCACAAATTTAGAAACTCCAATTTATAACATTAAATTTTTTATTTAATAAAGTATTATTAAGATTTAAAAAATAAATGTAAAACAGTACAATGGGGTAACATTTCAGCCAATAGAATGAGCAAAAACTAAAACGTCATATTCATGTCTTCAGAGATTGAGATGCCACTTGAAGACGTTCTTGAGTCTTTAAACAAAGCGGTAGAGTTGCCATGTGTGCGACTCACTTTTTTAGGAGAGTCGGTTCAACATGTTCTTCATTTGATGAATTCATACTTTTCCATATGTTCACCAAACACTTTTATGTCAAAGAAGTTTATACACCAAATTGTTGAATACAAGACAAGAAGTGTCGTTCTTGAAGTTAACATGAGAGGTTTGTTTAATTGTATATAATGTGTTCTATGCTTTAAACTGTACGTAACAATTTGTATATAAAAATTGTGATAAAATCGTTGGTTAAAATATGTCATTATTTTCGATATAAATGAATTACCCAATTTATCCCTAACACTATTAAATATTTTATAAATTATTATCATCAGTAAATGTAAGTTTTTAATAATATAACTCAATTAGTTTAAATCAATAAGTAAATTAATAAAACATTAAATATTTTATTCAAATTAGAAACATATTTTATTAGAATAATAATAAATATAGTATTATAATTAATAAATGAATTAATAATTATATAATTATTATATATTTATATATTATAATTATTATTATAACTTATATTATGGTTTTTAGATTATTTATACATATAATATATTATAGATATATTTAATATAATTAATTGAAACGTAGATGGAGGAAACGTTAACACGATGACAACCGTCTATTTTAAAGACGTTTCGATAATATTATTATTTTATTGTGTTAAAGAAAGTGAAGACACATTAGAATGTTGGATGAAAGAAGTCCAAAGATATGCGTCTTCAGACGTGTGTGTTAAAGTCATCGGGTTTTGTGATAGCAAAGAAGAACTTGGCCAAAATGAAGAAAAAAGAAAGAAAGACGCAGAACAGTTTGCACTTTATAATAATCTTGAACATATTATTATAAACACATTTGATACACAAGAATGCTGTAAAGCAGTTCAGAGTTTAATACGATTAAGTCTTGAAAAAGAAGACAAAAATAAAGTGGAAAGCACTCAACCACAAATTAGCACAAATTCTGCTTCAAAATGTAAGTGTTGTATTATTTTGTAAATTATATTGTTTGTAATGTTATTTAGTTAAACACATAAACAAAAATAATCCGCTTTGATATGTTAAAAAAATTATAACGTGTTTTTTTTATTTATAATGAAGACAATTATATATACAGTCCCTTAAGCTAGTTTTATGGGAAAAGTTTGCCTTTTGGGATTGTTTTTTAATTATTTCTATAATAAAAACTAGAAATAAATTATTTATTATATTTTCAATTTTTTTATTTGTTTTACATTTATCAACACAATTATCCAAATAAAATTTTTATAATTAATTATTATTTATATAAATATTATGATTAAATTAACTTTTTTCAAAAAACAATCCCAGAAGGCAAGCTTTTCCCATAAGGCTAGCTTAAGGGACTGTACATACATTTTTAGTTTTGATTTTAGTTCATAAAATGCCCATTCTTGAAAAAACAATAATTGTGATACACTTTTACTTTTGCGAATTATGATTGTATTAAGCTTATTGACATGTTTTAATTAAAAGTTGTTTTGTAAAACTCATATTTTACAAACACTTGATAATATATACAATAAAAATATTATTATATTAATATATTAACTTAGTTTTGATCAAATTACTCATAATTTATCTGTTACAATACACTTTTTATAAAAAATAAAATGTTGTATTCTTTTTAAATAAAACTATATAAAAATATTTAATATGAACAATAATATAAAAACTAATAAAATGAATTACACCCCCAATATAACCACAAAACATAATAGAGTAAACACCTTTGAAATTCCACTCCTCAAATTATCATTTGGTTCTGTGATACATCTACCAGCTGTTGTACACACAAAACCTTCTCTACACACTCCACACGCCGGTCGACAGTGTTCACTCCATATGCTGGTTCCTTGTGGATATGAATCGTTTGTGATTTGGCATTCTGTTCCATAACAATCAAAAGAAGTAGAGTCGCAGATGTACTGATTGTTTGCAAGACTTGATCTGAACAAAGTGATATTTTGTAATCTCACGTATGATCCTTTAGCAACAAAAAACTTGATTGAACCTCCATTTGAAAATTGTTTTCTATTTGGTTTGAAATAAGCTGTGATCGACACGTTTTTGTCTGTTTTATAGTATTTTGTCTTCAAATCTTTATCAACAAACACAAAAGAAGTATTTGTGAATTCGACAAAATCTGTTTTGTAGACCAAGTCTGCCAGAATCAATTCAAAATCTGTTGTATCTTCCATTTCCAAGTCAAATTGCACATGAGTGAAGTCTTGGTCGAGCATCATTTCAGTGATATAGACATATCCAATGGAGATAAATCCTTTGCCGTTGACTATATCAGTTGGCTCAAAAATGATTCCATTTGGAGTCTTCTCCTTTTCAACGAGG